ATACAAGAATTGGACTGCACTTTTAGATAGCATTTTTTTAGGACACCAAGTATACACTGTTTTCTCACCATTATTAAGCATGCTTATGTGAATTTTGTTGAGAAAGGAGCTCAGAAATGGACAACCCCTGTCAGGTCTATGATCACAGGGTGTGCACATGAATGGGAGCTGAAGGATCTTTCTGTGGATACTTACTAAGAATAGAAAATAAATAATTTTTCATAGAAATCAAATATCAAATCAACTGCTGAAAGCTGATGTTGATCAATGACACCATCCAAATGACAAATGATTTCTAATTGCAGATTTTGCTCATTCTTTGAATGCTCATTAATCTCTAGTGAGTATAAGATGGGAGTAGGTATTGCTAAGTATTAATACTTCCCACTAATCTTAAAATGCAGTTATGATTTTGAGTTAGATGGAATAATATTATCATCTGTGTCCTTTCAGGTTATCTATTGGACAGAACTAGTTTCTTCCCATTTTGATAGACTACTTGGACTCTTCACCCACACCTATCTTTATATTTTCTTTTTTTAATCAAAACTTGTGATTTCTTCAAAGATAAAGTTTACTGATATTTAAATAAACATAAAAATCTCTATTATCTAACCTATCTAAGCCTGAGATCAAAGAAGTGCCCCTTACAGAAAATAACATATAACTGCATCAAAATTGATTTCTTTAGAACTGCTGTATCTTTAACCATGAATAATGTGTTTGTCTATAGAGTTATCTTACTTCCAGCATTTCTTAGATTGCTGGAAATAAGTTTCCTTGAATTTCAGCAGGTCAAACATTTTATTCCATCTGTAGGGCAAACTGCACTGCCAGGTACAGACCAGTATCTACACTGGACCCAAACCCTGTTTCTTTTGAAATTTTTATTGGAATCAGATGAAGGATGAAATCCTTCTTGATATTTGGAATGTTCTGTATGAATGTCTGTATGGTATTATTTCTGTATGTAATAATACCATACGGTATCAACTGTTACTTAATTTCAGACATAGTGAAGGAGAAAATGAAGTTTCTACTTTTCATCTTAAACTGCACCTGACTTGGTTGCCATGCTGTTTCAATGGTTTTGTCTATACCATTTCATTGAACATTTTTATCCCTGTGAAATGACATATTTTGTATTATCTTTAAAGCTTCATTTTAGTCCAAACCACACTATCTATACAATTTCTGTTCAGAACACAGGCCGCTCTTTCACTGTAGTATAGAACAAATAAAATATGTTCTTTTTCTCCTTTTTGTTATGGAAATGTAGATGGTTGGAGGTCCAGCCTCTCAAGATATGGAAAAGTATTGAACTGACATCATCATATATTTCATTGAATAGTAGTTTCTATGAATGCAAATACTGCACTGCAGTTTCCCAAAATATATGGCAAAAATTTTTGGGTTTCGGTTTTATTTCTCCATAAAGGTAAAACCAGTTCAAATCTTATGTCCTGCTTCAGGGTAACAGTCATTCAACTGAAGGCTAAGGTTTCTCAAAAAGCATAGATTCATTCCAGCTGCCTTTTTTTTGCTCTTACTATTTCCCTTATGGTAAGCAAACCGCTAGTATCAGAAGTCAAAATCTGATTTGTTTTGGGAAAAAACCTTATATGTACATAATAAACAATAATAATACAAATATTTCTTGCAAATCCATTACCTACGATTCATACAGTTAATAAGAAATAATCCCATATTTGAAGTTTATTTATTTCTGCGTGAGAAATAGATGGGCGAGTAAAAGCAGGACTGCTTGCAAGAGTGGAAGAATGAAGCCACAGAGCACTGGGCTGGTGGCTGCAGCTGTAAAAGGAGCGTGGCTGTTACTGGTCACCAACCAAACTCACGGTGGCAGTGGTAAGGATTAAAATTCAGCCAGAGCTGCTTGTGCTGCTACCTACAGCCCTTCCAACCCTTCTGTGGAAACAACTGTGCCTGCCTTTAGGCTCCAAGATCCAGAGAACACAATGGTAGTTGCAGTGGAGAAGGGAAGGACAGAGTGCACTGGTGAGTTTGATGTGGTTTATGTGGGGCAGGCTGAAGGTGCAGCCCAAGACGCACTTTTATTTCTAGAGCCGCTTTCTACGCAAACAGCTGCTGGACATTTGCAACAAAGATGTGAGAGTGTTGTGTTGTGATTTCAGGCTTTACCTCAGAACCTCGGGTCCCTCCCCTGATAATTCCCTCCCAGGTGTGTTGGTCACCTCTCCTTTCCCCTCCCAGCACTGTCTGTCAATCCTGGAATTCCAGAAGGCAGATTCAAAGGATGCCCTCTACCCCTTTGAGGGGGGCATTGGGCCATCCAGGTGTCCTTTGTCCCTTAAGACCTCCTCTCTGGTACTTGGTTGGTGCCTCCCTACCCCTTCCCTCCCCATCTCCCCAGAGTTAGAAGGAACAGCAACCATGTGATCTGACAGCTCTGTTGGAGCTGTTGCTGCATTCAGAGGCCTGTGGGCCAAAATACCGCTCTGGATCAAAACCCTCCATCAGAACCGACTCCTTTCCTTCACCATCGCCTTAAAGCTTCTCCACCAGAAGTAAACCTCACGAGAGGAAGCTCCATCCCGCCACCACCAGAGCTCCTGCATGCCTGGACTTGCCTCCACGTGCTCAGCTGCAGCACTCAGCTAGCCAAAAGTGTGTCTGGGGCGAAAACACCACAGTGCTGCTATTTGGTCCAGCACCAAGGGCCAGACAAGCTCAGGCACGTCCCATCCGGCTATATTGGTAAATATTCCAATATGAGAGTGAAAAAGTGACATCAGATCTATCTGGGAAAGAACCTATAGAGCACTGTGCACAGTTTAAAGCTGTTAAGAAAAGGAGGTACTTTAAAAACACCTCCCTTGACACTGCCATCTGTGTAATCTCTAGTTGCTTGGACATGGCAACAATGAAAGAATGTGAAAATATTTGCACTACGAATGTCAGGTTGCACAGAGAAGAGGGTAAGTTGGCAAATGCCTTCTGTCCTGGAACATCTGTCAGTCAGAACTGCAGCTGGAAATGCTTCGCTGTAACAGAGTCTCTGCCACTTTGAGATATTGTGCTGATGTTTTATTTAATCATTGAGAAGGAACATGCAAATTGCTGGTGTTGATATAAATCTCGGTTTTTCACTTTAAAGCAACTGGCTCTGCTTTTGAACTGTAGTTAATGTTGGCTGTCATGAGTTCCCATGTGTTTTTTAGACCTGGGTTCCAAGCATAAGAAGCTGTATCTTCATCTTAAGAGCCAAAAAAATTGCAGCTTCAGCTCTCTTTTCACTATTGGTTTATGTCCAATAGAGGAGCTCTCAAGTTTGCAAATGCTCCAGGAATTCTTTTGCTGATGCTTTGGCAAGGCTGAGTGCTTGGCCCACTCTCACTACAGGCAGCCCCATGTAGCCTTTCCACACAGCAGGCATAAGGACCAGTAGTCCTGCACTGACTTGTAGCTTGGAAGTTCCCTTCTCCACAAGCTTCATGTTGGCTTTCATGTGAATAAAACCTTGTCTGCCACGCTAGAGCAGCAGCTGCTTGCATTCAGTGCATTTTTCACAAGAGCCTTACTAAGAAATGGGCATCTTGTTCTTGTAACCCTGAGCCATCAGCAGTGGCCCTCATGCAGCTGACTATAGCAGTATGCCAATCCTTCTGAAAACTTGCTGAGTTTATTTTTCAGCCTCACCAACAACTGACTATAAAGCCAGCATTAGTAGAGCTGTTGTATGGCAGCCTTATTTAGGCATAAGATAGCTCCAGACTTGATTTAGCCTTCCACTCCCTTCTGCTTGTGAGATAGAGTAGCGCTGGCAAGAGTAGTAAAAGGATTAATTATTGAAGTGGCTTGGATTTCAAGTGCAGTTCTCCTTTCAAGCTACTTGGAGACACATAAGCTGTTTACTTCCTAAGATTAATCTTAACAGAGGGCTTCAGCTGAAAGATTCCAGTCCTCTGCATCATGCTGGCTAGTACTGCTCAGCATTTATTTTTAAGGTCATTAGAATGTGATGCAGTTCACTGCTGCCAGGATGCCCTTTTGAGAGCATGGGGAATTAAAAGAGTGAGGTGAGAGATGCAAGTAAAAAAAATGAATCATAGAATCATAAATTGGTTTTTGTGGGAAAGGACCTTAAAGATCATCCAGTTCCAACCCCCTGCCATGGGCAGGGACATCTCCCACTAGACCAGGCTGCTCCAAGCCCCATCCAGCCTGGCCTTGAACATTTCCAGGCATGGGGCAGCCACAGCATCTCTGGGCAACCTGTGCTAGGGCCTTACTGCCCTCACAGGGATGAATTTCTTCTTGTGTATCAACCCTAAATTTCCCCTATATTTCAGCTCGAAGACATTCCCCTTTGTCCAGTCACTATATTCCCTGGTGCAGAGTCCCTCTCCAACTTCCCTGTAACCCCTTCAGACACTGGAAGGTGCTGTGAGGTTTCCACACAACCTTCTCTTCTCCAGGCTGCACAGCCCTGGCTTTCTGTGCCCCTGTCCACAGGGAAGGCGCTCAGTCCCCTCATCAACTTGGTGACCTCCTCTGGACTCATTTTTATAGTGCTCTGTCTGTCTTGTGTTAGAGGCACCACATCTGTACACAGTGCTCCAAGTGGGGTCTCAGGAGAGGGGCTACTGAATGCAGGAGACCTGCTGCCAACACTTAATTATTTCAACATTCACCTGACTGTTTACACTCAGGTACTGGCCAAGGAGCACAAATAAGAGCACAAAGAGCCACAACAGTCGTGGCTCCTGAGCTCCCTGCAGCAGGCTCATGGTCAGCCTCCCTGCACATTGAGTCTCTTGTGCCTGCAACAGGAATTCATGGGTATGTGATCTCCCCCTTTCACTCAGCCCCTGAGAAGTTCTGCCTCCTTCATGAGGAGAGAGCATCAGGCTGCCAGCCAAGGGTCAGCCCATCGCACCCACAGTGTCATTCATCCCCTACACATTCACAGATAGGGAACGACATGTCATGCCAGCTCCAAATGAATTAAGTCAACATTTTAACAGTGAGTATGTTTATTGAGGTGTTTGAAGTTCTGCACTCCAGTGGACACTGTTCATAATTTAAAGGCAAGAGCAAAACACTGTGACAGGCTCCAACTGGGATATTAAAAAACTCACAAAGTCATGTCACTTAAGAAATACAGTTAAATTGTTCAATCATTTTGGTCTTCATCCCAGTCTTTCTTTCCTGATGGAGGTTTTGGGCCACCAGCTGGTTTTGCCATAATGATCTTGAAGAGAATAGAGAAGCAGAAAAAGCTGACGTTAAAATCAGGCTTGTACACCCTTCTCCTACAGCTGCCTGATGCTGACTGCTAGCATTCACTACATCCATGCAATTTCCCTACTCTGAACCCAAGCCAGTGAATATCCATCTAACTGAGATACAAACAACTTTTTTTTTTTTTGAGAATGGTAGAGGCTGAGCCTTGATACAGTAGAAAAGGTATTTTACCTCATTTTTGCATGCAAACTAAGACTTCAGTTAGTCTACAGAAAGTGAGTGCTTAAATAGGCCAACAGCAGACTAGTTTACAGGGTGCACACTACAGCAAGGATTATCAAAGCCATTGTTCTCAGTTATTGTTTCCAAGTATCACACTTTAAAACCAAGAAGTCCATCAGTCTTACCATGTTAAAACTCATTATCTGCCCTGGCTACATGGACAAGTAAGGTAAATCTGAACTTGCACTTATCCTCCCTTCCATGAAAATCTGGATTCAGGAGCAGAATCCATTTGCAAAGGGCACAAACACAGGATGTAGCAATCAGCACACATCAGAAGACAGCAGTGTTAGGTGTTCTCAAGGAGCATACAATCTCCATGTGCTTGTCAATGAACTCATGCAGGCACTCACAGATACCTCTCTGCTAGAGACACACAGCTTACTGCACTCTAGTTTTCAGGCTCATCTTTCCAGTCATCCTTATCCCAATGTCCTTGTTGCTTAGGGGCTTTTGGACCGCCTGCTGTTTTTGCCATAATAATCTACAAAAATTTTACATGCAAATTCATTTTTGCTGAAGTTTCACAAAATAATGAAAGATTTTTATCCTTGAGACTGTAAACTTTATTTTTCCTAAAAATTGGATTTTAATGTAAAAATACAGGAGAGAAGTTTCTTCTACTAGTGCTTGTTCCTACAGAAGTTAGAGTAACTCTCTGGATACAAAGATAAACATTTTTCAAAATATCAATAAAATCTTTTAAAAAAATATCCCAACAAACATTGATAGTACTGCTACAGAAGAAGCCACATTCCAGATTACAAGCTCTTGAACAAATGCCTTCCTGGCTTCCACATTCTCAAGCAGCATTATGTTTACACCTTGAATGTGCAGAAGATCCCACCTACTTGCAGGAGGGTTCTGCCAGGTATTAATTCAGCACCTAAATGCACATAAACTTACCTGATCAACCCTTAGGACAGTTACTGCAGCATTTGTAGCTAGCTTGATACCCCAGAATTTCCCAAGATATGTGTCCAACACACCAGCTTCCAACATGTCCTTCACCGCAGCAGCTTCAGCCTGTCAGATGGGGAAAAAAGATCATTCAAAACCTTCTCAGGCTTTCACCTAGCAAGGTGGTATCACTTTTCTAACCTCATCTTCTCCCTTCAGAAAACCTTCATTCCCAACCCATTAGCAGGAAGACAAAGTCAGTAATTTCTGAAGACCTACTGCCTGTCACATTAGTTCAGTATCCCACTCCATCTCTGACATAAGGCCATTACTACACTGGGCTGAACTGTTTGCTGATAAAAAGAACATTTAATGATTTAAATTCCAAAAAGTTATGATTCTAAACTGTGCAACACAGAGCTCCCAACAACTTAAAATAATCTATAAATACTTCATACTGATAGAAGTATTATAAAGTACAACCCTGCACTGCAAGGCAACAAGTAACATCAGAGACTATTTACCTCAATATCAAATCCAACATTCTTCTTCCCTTCCTGATGCATGGCATAAAGTTTGGAGATGACCTCATTAGCCTTTACTCCAGAGTTTTCTGCCAGTGCTCGAGGAATGGCTTCAAATGCCTCAGCAAACTTCTTGATGGCATACTGGTCAAGCCCAGGACAAGTCTAAAATGAAGGTGAAAACCACGTCAGCATTTCAAAACCTGTAAGACAGGGAGGCATTTCCCCCCCCACACTTGTTATTACACAAACACGTATGTTGGTATGAAATAATATTTGTATTTTTGGTAAGATGTGTGTGTGAAGATGAAAAGCCAAGAAGCCTGTTTGCCTCACCTCTCCATAAGATGTGATCTGCTTGGCTAATTCAATCTCTGTCGCACCACCTCCAGGAACAAGACGTTTATCCTGTGGAAAGACCACACCCAAACAATGTTTTGCTTAAAGTATCCATTATTTCTCATTTTTCTAGGATTTTTCTAGTCTATGAAGAATGCAACAGAACTTTAATCCACACAGACTCATTTAGAATCAACTTCAGAACAAACATGCATTATAAGGGAAATCTACCAGAATTTACTCATTCATTCCAATGTCTTTCAAGAAAAACAGCTTCTTTTGTAAAAACCAAAAAAATACTGCAGTGGGATTTGTGTCTCAGATTTTTTGGCTTTTTTAAAAAAAATTCAACTCCTGGTTAATATTCTCATTTTTTCCATTATTTTGGTGGGAAATATCACCCAGGAAACCAATCTGCTGTACACTAAGTTTAATATGTCAACAGGTATTACAAAGTATTGGGACGTTTTGTTTTCTCACATTTTAAATTAATCTTGTACATCCTTTGGCAAACCAGAATTTATTTATTAACTCTGGTCTCTTAGCCCACAAAGCAATCATCATAAATCTTAAAACAGGACAACTCCTGGAGACAATCATAAATGCACAGCATTTCTGTACTCAAAACCAATGTCCATGTCTTGGTATGTAGCGGATATTAAGATTCTAACAGTTTTAACAGTTTTTGCATGCTGTTTTCCAAGTAAATACAGGAACATTTCTTTTTGTATAAAAAGAAGAAAAATGAAACAATAATATTTAAGACCACATAATTTGCTCACACAACAAAATCCTCTGTAAAACCGAGTTCTTCCATCCATAAAAACCTACCTGCATTATGTGGAGGAAGCATGAATTATCACCAATGAACTAAAACTGAGTCTGCAACCAATCAGTTTCTCCTGATTCCAAGTGACAAAGCTATCTAGCTTTTCTTCTGTGCCTGGTTTCCAAGGAACATTACAAAGCATTTAGGGAGTAAGTAAAGAAGAGCTGACTGTCTTTAAAAAGTGGTAAAGGTAATCCACCTCCAAGCACTCACTCAGTACTGGAAAAATGAGTGCAGTCCATGTTAAACACCACCTTCCATGTATGCTGTCTTCACAACAGCAGCTGTTTCCCTGCACAGCCCTCCACACCTCAGTACCACACAGCCACTCTCCAGCTCCAGAAGGCACCAAAGCAGATTAGTATCTTCTGCCTCTGGTAGCAAATGAGCACAGAGCAGGCTCAAGCCTTGCCTCAAACTGACCTACTGCTCACTTTTGATAACCCAAGTGTTCTCATTACTCACCCTTGTGAGCACTTTGAAAGTATTGACACCATCATCCACAGCTCTCTCGATGTCATCCATCAGATTGTCCGTAGATCCACGAATGAGGATAGTGGAAATGGCTCCATCCTCCTTTTCTGTTCAGAGACATGCATTACTGAATTAATTCATTAATCTTATTTCCAAAACACATACAAACACACTTTAGAACAGCAGTGTGAGCAGTTCTACAGGACATACATACCATGCTTAAACACCACAACCTGTGTATCCCCAACCTCTGATAAATACACACTGTGGCAGTGACCCATTTCTTCAAGAGTGGGGGGAGTCTAGAAAGAAAAACATGAGTTAAGAACTGAACCTGCTCATCAGTTCTCATCCTCCTGCACCTCATTTGGGAAGTACACACCAGTCTGGGTAGGGCTGTTGCACCAACAGTTTTGCACAGTCTTCTCAGGTCCCACTTGGAGTTCAACCTTTAAAAACAAGTTTCCATAACAATGTTAACTCATGCAGAAGTATTGTCTTAACTTGGCAAGTACATTTCATAAATCTGGTAGTCCAAATGTTTTCATGCTCTCCTAGTACTTACCTTACTAACATAAGATTGTACTTGTTGGCATAATGAAGAGCCATATCTGCCACTTTGCCACCTGTCACTACTACGTTTGCACCACTATCAGCAATAGCCTTGACTTGCAAATCCATTAGATTTTCTTCTCCTTTACTGAAATTCATCAGTTCTTCAGCATTCTTTATTAGGACGGTGCCCTAGTAAAACACATACACTGTTAAAATTCAGCATTAAAATTCACATACACTGTTAAAATAGCTACAAGTTTCTGACAAACCATTTTGTCTCCCAACCTATCTGTAAATCTTAAGTCATCCTGTTTTGTAATACTGACATGCTCCCCAAGCAACAGGGTAAAACAAGAGTTAAAAAAAATAAAAGGAAATCACCAGGCAATTCTAGACAACCTTGGGGTTCAGAAAATCAAGCCACAGTTTGGCTCAGATGACCCAAAAAACCCAAAACCATCTCCCCTATCTTAAAAACCCTGTGAAGCAATCAAGGTTCAGAACTTTCTATACTAAGAAAATCAATATTCACCAAAGTATCTCAATCACCAAGTGTCAACAATATTTATAGTTAAGTCTAAAAATAAGACCACATATGCATAAACAGAGATGTAACTTATTTTGAGCTATAACATACCTTAGTTTCAGTTATCATACCATCAAAAGGGCAGGAATACACAGCTATTTTTGCATCTTTGACAGAAGTAACATCTCCTTCAGTTTCTTTTTTAAAAACCATGCCATGCAGTACTGAGGAAGCAGAAATACCAGCACCCTGAAAGGAAATAAATGGAATCTGAGACTCTTTACAAGGACAAGTAGTGACAGGACAAGGGAGAATGGTTTCTCACTGCAAGAAAGTAAGTTGAGATTAAATATCAGGAAAAAATTCTTCCCTGTGAGGGTGGTAAGGCCCTGACTGCCCAAAATTGTGGCTGCCCCATCCCTGGAAGTGTTCAAGGCCAGCCTGGACAGAGCTTGGAGCACCCTGGTCTAGTGGAAGATGTCCCTGCTCATGGTAGGGGGCTGAAACTGGAATTGGGTGATCTTTAAGACACATTCCAGCCCAAACCAAACTGTTCTTTGAGTCTATGAATGGGGGAACATTGTATTACTGACCATTTGTGCTCAGAAAGCTGCACTACTCTGCCTGAAAAGCAGACCTCAAAAGCATTTGGATGTAACACCCTAAGTATAAGCCTTCAGTTCATTCAGCAACAACAAACATTGTCTAACAGGTTCCCATTTTATATTACTTCCAATATTAATGATTTTTGTTTCTGAATGTTGCTACTGGGCACTAAACAAGAGAAAGACTAATTTCCAAAATTCAGAATACCTGCCACAATAAAATTAGAAAAGACTCTCTGAAAGCTCAAAGATTAACCCTCATTATACTATTTACATTAATAATTACAGTAAAGCCAGCTACTTCAAACTTACCACAATTTTGCACACTCTGATATTATCAACATTGAAATGACCAGAATCAGGAAGAATAGAAACTGGGGAAAAAAAAGAAGAAAAATAATGAATATGTCCTGCCTTATGACTAAAGTAGAACAATGACACCATAAATAATGCCTGGAATTTTTCTGAAATTTTTATTTCAGCCGTTTGAGATATCTGCCTAAATTCAAGATACAACCTGCTAATAACTGGCATAAAGAGAAAGAGAAATTTTGTTTTTACAAAGTAATAATCAGAATTAAACATTTATTCAGGCTGCTCAGTTAATTAAGTTCAAATATGCACTCCTACAGGTGGAGTCAAGAGGTAAATCTAATCTAGAGTATTTAGAGAAATCAATGGAATTAAAAATGAAGGTCTTATCCCAAAAATCTAAAGGGATAACAATTCAACAGAACTACGGTCTTACTTCCATTGTTCTGTGGCTGAGACTAAAACCAGTTTATGTGAAGCACAATATGTCCACCTTATGATATAATAAGAGGGAGAAAGACAGATTTCTGCACTAAAAGGACTTGAAAGCTATTTCTAGAAATGCCTAGTAGGAAAGGCAAACCTTTCCTGAGCTACAATGCCAACGCAGAGTTCAATATGAGGAAGATTACCCTCATTTCAGAGGTATTCTATCCAATCCAACCTGCTAAAATAACCATCCTTCCCATCTTCCATGAAATGTAAGGACCATAACCAAACCCACTCAGTTTTTTAGCTGCTCCAGCCCCACTCACCACAGGCCTGAGCAATGAGCTTTGCCAAGAACCGTTCATTGCCATACTGTTTGCTCATGACTGACGTGTACAACAAAGATGCCACCTCTTCAACATCTCGAAGGTTCTTTGCAGAGCAGCACACCAAATCTGGAAGAATTTCTAGGGCTTTCTTGCAAGCCTTTTCATATCCTTCAATCACCTGTGCAGCAAACAGTAAATATTCACTACAAGACTTCACACTGCTTTTAACTGCTTTTCAAATAGCCATAAAACTTTAACAGATTAAAAAGTGTACAAGGGAAGCAAACAAACACACATGGTTTCCCTCGAAACATCTTCATGTAAAAATGAGGTGGGAAGAAAGCAGGTATTTCATATTATTATGACCCAAGAACACTGATCAGCAGCAATCTGGATTCAAGCTCTGTGAACTGTCATGAGAATATAACTTGCCTCTGAGACAGATAACCCCATCCTCAGAAGGTCTTCTGCTAACTCCAGAAGAACTCCAGCAAAAACAAGGACAAAATTTGTTCCATCTCCAACCTCTTGTTCTTGCATGTGTGAAGCCATCACAAGCATTTTTGCAGCAGGATGCTGGACCTTTAAAAGAAATTACACATCTTGGTGACTAACACACCACCTAGGATTCCAGCTTCAGGCATTTTCTATGCTTCTTTCTAAGCTCTCTTATTTCAAATTGTACCTAGAGATATGAAGAATGCACAAAATTGGAAAAGAAAGCAGCACAGATATTCTTAATTGGCTAGCTTCTCTAGTAGGAAAAACCAGAAATATATATTTAAAAAATCAGAGAACTGAACGTTGCCACTACAACATAAATTATATATCCTTTACATTGGTTCTGAGCTACTTTCACAGGATGCAGTGGCTTCACAACTGAGCTCTGTGACAGGAAAACAAGCTGGAGTTTAGATCTTCAGATTGAATTCACATGTAACACATAAAATACATGTCTAAATAAGTTTCATTTTAAGGGGGGAGAGTGTGGGAGGTTCTGCCTAAAGATTGCACTGCTTCACTTTTCTTTCAAAAAATTCAATAAAATACCACATTCCTGAATATTTAGACCTGCCATTTTATACCAGAAAGTAACATGCAAAATGTATCAGATTAGGTCACTAGTATGCAGATTGTATTTTTTTAAAAACACAACTGAGACTTCCACAGTTACTCTACTCAAAATGAACACCAATGCAATGCATTCAATAAGTAAATACTTCATACTTACATAATCTCTATCACTAAGTATAAAATTCAGTAAAATATTATTTGTGTTATGTCACAAATACAAATTTGAAGTCGCAGGAAGAATTAGGAAAGTCTTTTCATGCCTTCACAGTATTTACAGAAGGATGCTGCTATAGCCTCAGATTCTTAAATTCAATTGATGGGTTGAACTGCCAGTCAGGAGAACATGGCAAGCAACACCACTGGGAGATGAACTCAACAGCTGTGTCATGCAGACTTTCCCAAACCACTGCATTTCTAGACATATCCTCTTTTAAACCTACTGGTTCTGGGGGAAAGTAAGGAATTATTAAGCATCTCCTACAGTTATTCATGCTGCTTCACAAAAGAATTGTATTCATGACTTCCTAAGTGAGATAAGTAAATAATCTGTCAGAGTGACATTTCCTTACTGCCAGTCAACTGATGTCAGTTGGTTCACAACTGACATCATCTGAAGCAAGAAAACTTACCTCTAACTCTCTCAGGATAGTAGCAGCATCATTTGTAACAAAAAGCTTTTCCAGATGATTGATAACCATTTTGTTCATTCCTAAATGGGAAAACAAAAAAATTATAAAAATAATTCCGTATGCAAACAGTATTATGAATATTAGGAAACAGAAACTGTTTCCTAACTTTCAGGTGTATCTTACACATTAAAATGGTTAGCTCTGTTTATAATTTCAGATCTTCAAAATATTTTTGTGAAATAATACTTGAAGTGTAGGACATGAAGGAGAAATCAGTAATTTCTGAGTAAACAGTTTTCTGTTCTGAAATATCAGCACATAATTTAATTAAATGATACAGAAGAATATTTTGTTTCCATATATCTGACGGAACAAGATTATGTTCACTATGATTACCCACAATGTTATCATGTTTCCTTTAATTTTTATGCTTTTTCATATATTTTATACCATGTTTCAAAGAGAATACAGTAACTGCTACAAAAACCTGGCAAAAGCAGACACTGAGCATAACTCCAGAGCTGTCAAAAAAAAAATCTGTTTTCTACAGTCACAAAGAAATGGTCACAGATTTGCAGTTTTAGAGCAAGCCCAATGTGTTTCTCCCAGAAACAAACAGCTGCTTCTTTGTCAGGGTACGTTTAGCCTCCAAACATAACATTTGTCTCAAAATGCAGCAATAATTTCAGGATTTATTTACCATTTGGTCCATATGCTGTACGGGTGGTTTGAGCAAGTTCTTTGCATGCCTGGATGTTTCTATAGACAGCTTCTTCCAGTCCTGAATAGTGCTAAAGGGAACAATGACTGATCAGAATTAGGCTAACAAAAAAAAGTGGTGAACTAGCAATTTCTCATCAAAGTAGTGTCAATCTACTGAGTCCCTCAAAGTTTTTCATTAATATACATTTGGAATTTCACATACAGTTTGAACAGACACCAAACCTTACCCAAAGACAGCAAGAAGTAGTGTGTACACCTTCTCAACTAGGCAGCTCAGCAGGCACAAAAAGCTTCCAAAGGGAAAATCTGAACAGTGCCTTGACTTGCAATTCAGTTTGCATCCCCTCAGTCTTCCAAAAAAGTTTTGTGACATGCCAAAAAGAAGCAGAAAACAACCAAGACCCAGCTGGAGAGGGGCAAGGGTTTCTGTACATGCTTCTTTACTCACACCTTTGTATGGTACAAAAATAATTTAACTCAGTTCCATGTTCAAAACGTGCAGTTTGAAAATTCAGAAGCAGAATGATTAAGCAAAATATCTGTGCTTGAGAAGGCAATCAGCCTGGCTTCAGTTTGGAAACCTTAAGACAAGATGGGATCCCCAGAAAGGGCCTTAAGAAAGAAAAAGCAGGATAAAAACCACTGTGCAGCCTGTTAGAGAAGGGAGAAAAGTAGTAATAACCAAACATCTAGATTGCCAGCTACTCCTTGTCTTGCAGAAGACAACTCTTGCTGTTCTGGCCTAGGATTTTCTAACACTGAGGCTGCTCTGCTTCCCTGTTCTGCCCCTGAATGTATGCCATTATTTGGCTCCAAGAAGGATTCTAAAAAGAAACACAAAGGGCTTTCAGAGCTGCTACCTTCACTCTTCTTTCTATTAAGTAGCAGCAAATGGAAAATTTTCCTATTTTCCCCTCTTTCTTGGAGAGAGGGACTTTGGGCCTGGAGAGACAGGACAAGGGGCAATGGCTTCACATTGAAAGAAAGTATGTTCAGTTTGTGAGGAAGCCCTGAAATTCTTCCCCATGAGAGTAGTGAGGCTCTGGCACGGATTTCCCAGAAAAGCTGTAGATGCACAACCCTGGAAATGTCCAAGACCAGATGGGGCTTGGAGCTAAATGATCTTTGATGTCCCTTCCAACATAAACTCTTCTATTGACTCTATGAATAGAAAAGAAAAAATGCCACACCTTCTTGCTTTCTGCCCACTTTTCAAAGAAAGCTTCTCCTTTATTAACACACAGTCCTTCAACTCTACCAAAATCTTAACTATAGTAATGTAAATACAGTGAAAGCGGATTTATTAGCAAGGAAATATACAGAAAACATTCCATTGTTCTGCATCGCTGACAAAGGTATCAGAGAAAAAAATCAAGCAGAACCACCCGGGTACTTCTGAACACTTCAACTATAGGGCCCGGCTGAATGTTGCTGCCCAGCCCCTGCGGACCCTGGCGCATCCCCGGGATGCAGGGGCAGGGCCGGGATGCAGCGGCAGGGCCGGGATGCAGGGCAGGGCAGGGCCGGGCCCCGGGCAGGGCGGGCAGCGCGATCCCGGCCCGCAGAGATTTCTGGAAGGCCGCGTGCTCGGGCACCGCCCCGCAGGGCGGGCAGGCCCCGATCCCCGCAGCGCCCCGGGCAAGGAGCGGGGGGAGCCCGGCCCGGGAGCGGGGCACGGCCGAACCCCCGGCCCCCGCCCCGCGGCACACGTGGTGCCGCCGGGCCCTGCCGGCCCGCCGCGGCTTTTCCCGCACCGCAACCCCGAAACTCCTCCCGCACCCGTCCGTCCATCTGTCCGCGCGTCCATCCAAAGGCGGCCTCACCTTCGCCCCCTCCTTGAGCATCTGGGCGAAGCCCGGGGCCTTGGGGACGTGCAGCGCCATCTCCGCTCCGCTCCGTGCGCGGCTACGGCGGCAGCGGGAGCGCGCGGGGCACGGCGGGAGCGCGGGGCCGCGCAGGCGCGGGGCGGGCGGGCCGGGGCGGGGCCGCCCCTCAGGCCGAGCGGGTCCCTTAGGCGGGGCCGCGCTCGCCGCCCGGGGAGCACCGGGAGAGTGCGTTGGCTCTCTCTTTCTGTCCCTGTCCTGTTCAGGAGACTGTCGCCCGGGCGCTCCTCGGTACGCCTTGCGATGGAAACTCCAGGAACAGTGCGGAGTTTTCATGGCCACCGATGATAAACGTCATAAAACCGAGCCGACTCCTGTCGAGCGTTTCGCTTAGTACCTACTTGTCCAAATGGAAGCGCAATGCACAAATAGGAAAACTAAGCATCATAAAACCACACAGTGAAAGGGACCTTGAAGCTCATCCAGCTTCAACTTCTGCCATGGGCAGGGACACCTTGCACTCGGCTCGGCTGGATTGTTTCAAGCCCCGTCCAACCTGGCCTTGAACACTTCCAGGGATGGGGCAGCCTCAGCTGCTCTGGGCAGCCTGTGCCAGGGCCTCACCAACTTCACAGGGAAGGCTTTTCTTCCAATACCCAATCTAAATCTGCTTGCTTTCATTTTGAAGCTGTTAAGAAAATTATTCCACAAACACCAGAGGTTTATGTCCAAAAAGGAGACAGAGGAGTCCTTTCTGGCTTTATTCAAATAAAAGGAGAGACCATGGGGCATTCCCCTGGGATCTCTCAAATTTTTTGGAGGACGCAACCTCCTTTTTATCCTGATTTCCTGGGCACATTTCCCTTCTCTCTTTCCCCATTGGCTGAGGTACTGGAGAGGTACAGACTTACCAGAATGCCTGATACCGAAGATTTCCCTCTAATGTATAACCCTCCCTTTTAACTTTTAATTCTTACAGAATTTAGGGGTTTTTCTTCCCCATTGTTTCTTTCATCTCTTAATGTCTAATTTCGTTTATCAGCAAACCTAAAGTTTATTTGTAAGAGCAAATATCTTTTTCCATTCATCAATCAGTGGAATCCTTCCCATTATTTCTTTTATCTCCCAGTGCTAATTTAATCTACCAGCAGACCCACAGCTTGTTTGTAAAGACAAACCCACTATTTCTCTCAAAGCCATTTCCCCTTGTCCTGTTATTGTCCACAAAAATCAGATTCGTTATTTGGGATGCAACATGCCAATAATTAAACACTCAAGATTGACAATTTATTTCAGAATTGCACAAACCTGGGTGCTCAATGGTCTTCCACAAATAATGAATGCTAACTATGAAAACTTTTTACTATAAATGCATTTCAGCAAACAAAGGAGTTAGTGTTCATTGGCTGCAAGTTACACAGTTCTCTTATTAATTAGTATCCTATCTGCTTTTTTTTTTTAATGATTCTTGCTTCTCATGCCAATTAGTCTTTTGAGTCTGTGAGTTTCTTGAGCTGGTGGTCCATGAGTAATGATCTCCTCCTGCCAGATTTACCCTTCACCCAGTTCGAGCTGATTTCCACAAAATTGCTGAATTGGCTTTATTGTTTTTTTTCTGCCAGATGCCTTTCTGGCCCATAAATTCTGCATTCTTTGTGTCCAGTATCAGTGGCTATCCTTCTTCCCTTTGTTTTCCTTCCCCTACATCTGATCTCATTAAAGCATGTCAAGCCCTAAACATTAACAAGGCAATTCTACCAACAAATAATTTGCTTTTCTGACACCTGGACATCACTGAGAACTTGCTTGTTAGCTGTTATCTGTTTCAGGGATTAAATCTCCCTTCTTGTTGATTCAGCTTGAAAGTATAGAAAGCTCAAACATGAAGGAATATCCTTTCTTATGAGAATTTTATATATTCCGTGTTTTGAAGAACTGTCACTGGATGCCCTTGTAAATAATCTCTTTCCCATCTTCCATGTAGGCTCCCTTCAAGTACTGAAAGGCTTCTTTTCCAGGCTGAATCCCTATTCTCTCAGCCTTTCCTCACAGCAGAGGTGCTCCATCCCTCTAATCATCCTGGTGGCCTCCTCTGGACTCACTCCAACAGGTCTCTGTCCTTTTTGTTCTGGAGATCCCAGAGCTGGATGCAGTACTTGTTATCCAGGGTAATGCCAAGTGATATGCTCACTGCAAATATGACAAAGAGCAGTTTGGAGGCCCACCTGGACACCTCTGCAGGTAGTTGAGGTCCTGCCAGGAGACAGTAGATCTCCTTTAAGTTTGACAAGTTTATTGACTTTGCTTCTGTGCCACACAAAATCAAATACACTGTTTAAAGACCAGAAGTTCAGGGCATTAGAAATAATACTGCAGTACCTGAGCCTATAAGCCAACAGAGACTGTTTCCCCACCTCTACAGCAGGCTCCCTGCAAGGTTCATTAAATCATTTGATATGTGTTGCTTAAGTAACCTCAGAAAAACACAGTTTTATTTTACTGTCCCATAATTCTTAAAATTATATTGTTTTACCCTGTAAAACAGGGTAACAGGGTAACAGTTTAGTACATTGCCCCAGAAGTATTAAAAAGAGTAATGATAGAGGGAAACTATGTAATTTGCCCCACAAATGAACTTCAAAAATTCTGTATGCAGTTTTGTCAGAAGTATTTGGAGGTAGATGCCATTTGAAGCAAAAGAGGGAACTTACTCATCCATGTCTGTCATGACCAAGGAGTGCAGGCATTTCCAAAATGATTTGCTGGGGAACAAATTTATCCCTCTCCCATTTATTCCTCTCTTCTTTTCTTCCAGTGTATCTTGCACCACACTGCTGTAAGGGAAGAAGGAAATACCCATCCTGTTCTAGGGTCAAGATACTTTATAAAGGAACTTCTGTAATCTAATGTTAGCCATGGTACTTACTTCTAAGTCAGCACAGAAAACTTTAGATTCTATGAATTGATGGAAGTCTGCTAGTCTGTCTGCTAATTGATGCATACAGCTTGAATAACTCTTGTACTTTGCCCTAATTCTACAAGTCTTTGTATAATTTTTTTCTTATTATAATTTACATTCTTTCTGTGCCATTGCTGTATTCTGCTGTCTCCAGGTATTTGTAAGGAGTTTAACAAATACAAGTGCCAGATTCTGCACCTGGGATGAGGCAGCCCCACATGTATGGACAGACTGGGGAGCAAGACACTGGAGAGCAGCACTGGGGAAAGGGTCCTGGGGATTCTGGTCTACAAAAATTTGGATATGAGTCCCAAGAGGGCCAGCTGTGTCCTAGGGGATATCAGGCCCAGCATCGCCAGCTGGGCCAAGGAGGGGATTGCCCTGCTCTGCTCTGCTCTGCTCTGCACTGGAGCAGCCTCACCTCAAGTGCTGGGGGCAGTTCTGGGCACCCCAATATCAGCAGGGTATAAAGCTCTTAGGGAACATCCAAAGGAGAGCTACAAAGATGGTGAAGGGTGTTGAGAAGAAGCCCTGCAAGGAGTGGCTGCAGTCACTTGGCTTGTCCAGCCTGAAGGAGAGGTGTCTGAGAAGTGTTGCCATTTAGGAATGGTACTCCCCAGTTCATTGATCCCACTTCCATTAAAACCAGGCACTGCTCACAGTCCTTCCTTCCCACCCTACCCCACCACACGGTGGGCTGGAGAGGAGAACAGGCAGCATAAAAGGTAAAGATCACAGGCTGAGGTAAGAACAATTTACTGGAACACCAATGAGTTTAGAAAACAAGCACTAACAGCAACAATACTTCTGACAGAGGAAATCAGCAATCCACACAGAAACCCCCCAATAGCAGACAATACCTGACTGCTCCCTCCACAGCACTTACTCCACTGGACTTCAGTGATCCTTGTGGGTCCCTCCCAACTCAGGACACTCTTCAATGCTATGATTTCTGAACTCTCTTCTTGGCACAGTGCTTTTATCAAAGCTTGTGCTACCTACCTTTTTTAAAGCCAGAATACCACTAAAACCATATATATATATGTATGCTTATGACTATGAATATAGAGAATATTTTTGTATTAAGCTGTATTGAATTAACACTAAAACATCTCTTTATGTTACAACCAGGATTTCTTTGGGAGTGTCTAATCACAACTTTGACTTGGCCTTGATCTTTTTTTAGCTATGCATGTACACCATTTATTTTCTGCATAGACATTGACATGCTAAAGGACCATGCCAAGGTCAGAGGGTTGGCTATTGGCCGTTGGCTGCTCTTTCACCACCCAAAATCTATAATTGTGCACATGGAAATCCCCAGCTTATCTGTAGGCACTTGTCTGTCAAATTCTAGGAGGGTAAAATTTTAACACGATCTTGGGAAGTTCACAAGAAGGACAGAATGTTAATTTTTGCTTGCTTATTCAGCTATGGAACAGAAGGGTTTGAAAAGCATCTGCTGTGTGTGTAGAACAATTGTGTTTCACCAATAGTGCTGGCCAGTGAAAAAAATGTGAGTGACATCTTGAGGGAAGGCTAAGGGTCATGCTGAGTTTGCAGAGAATCATGCTTAAACATGAAAAAGAAAATTGTGAACCACATAGTGCTGAACATTTGGAATAATTTCTTAGTAACAGCAGCAGCAGTTACTTTAGCTTTTCCCCCAGATTTGTAATGTAATGGGAAGGAACAGACTAATCAACTAGAGTACATCCACTCAGCTAAGTACTACTTAGGCCCTTGCTCTACAGGTCCTGGTTAAACACTACCCTCATCCTGGGCTTCTCTCACTTGTGCAGAGGATTGCAAGCTGAACAGGTGTAAGAGACTCATAGTGCAAAAAAGGGAAATTGTTTTTGTGTATGTGTGAATCTGCACTGGCTGGGAAATGAAGGGACAACCAGTAACTAAGGAGTACCTGCCAGGCAGATTTGGTCTTTTCTCCCACCCAGAGAAGTGAAGGGAAGCACAGCAAAGGCTGTGTGGTTGTGTAAATTAAGTCTATATTTCCCTGTAGTGGTTTTCTGGTCCCTTCACAAAATGACTGAAAACTGCAGCGCAAAAGTTAAAGCTGAATTTTATGCTCTACTAGCTAAACATAATGCCAAACCTTCTCCAGGAGGAGAAGA